TCGCCAAAGAATGGCAGAGGCCGTGAAAGCCTTGTCTGGAAGTTATGGGGGAGCCAAAGCCGGCCCGGATAGATGATTACGAGAATTGGGAAGCATTTTCACTGAGACGCTTTTTCTATATTCCTGTGCTGTAGATTTAGCTCCTTTAGCGGGATCAACACTTCTTTTTTCGGACTAAAATCCATTCAATATCGAGAATCATGTAAGTAAATCGTTATTGTAAAATTCTAGACTCAGAGACGCTCCGAGTGAGAGAACGAGCTGCTGCTTGCCATTCTTCTCTTCGCAAGCTACCTGGCCTGTGCTCAAGCATCGGACGACATACGAAACTTGTACAGCTTGTCTAACGCATGTGCTTTGCTAATTGCTTACAAAAACAATTACCTTTACAAAGCAAAAGCAAAAGAAAGAGAAATAGATTTGGCATGATTGATGCCACTTTGTACGACGTGCACCGTAGGTCAGAGTTGGCATCTGATTTCATGTTTAAAGCCAAGCAACATCCCAAGCCACTGACTCATCTTTGCTAGCCACTTCCAAGTTGTCATTTGGATGTTGATTCATCGACGACATTTGTTGTAATTTCTGAGGGTATTCCATTGGAAGTTATGGGGGAGCCAAAGCAGGCCCGGATAGATGAGTACGAGCATTTGCCAAGCATTCGCTCTGAGATGTGGAACCATTCGGTGTGGAATGTGAGGGAGCTGAAGGAACAGAGATACAGAGCAGCAAACTTCGATTCAGAAGACTTCGAAGGCTTGCGCGAGCTGCTGCTGCAGGAGGACAACACTCTGGAGCACGTAATGCTGTCCTGCGAGGGCTACCACAAAGTAGAGGGGTTTCTAGAAGCAGCTGTGTCCAAGCTAAGCATCCTTCGCATTAGAAATTACAAATTTGGCGAGGAGGTGATTTGCAGCTTGGATGAAGCTATTGCTGATGCCAAGCACGAGAATATGCCAATCAAGCTCAAGACGCTTCTTCTAAATTCTTGTGTTGTAGATTTAGATGCTTTAGCAGGATCAACACTTCCAAAGTATTTAGAACGTCTGGAGCTTTATAATTGCCGTTGCTCGCGCAACCTGGAGAAGCTGCTGCAAGATCCAGCCTGCAAGATCTGGGAGCTGTCCCTCAATCAGAATGAATACTTGACTCCTGCCCTCTTCCAGGCTGGAACAAGTCTTCGGAAGCTTACGCTGGTCGACATCCCAAATGATCAGGCTCTACTCAGCCAAATCTGCGGAGCAATAGAGGGCCTTGGAATTTCAAATGAGCCCAGCCGTCACGACATCTCCGTGCTGGCAGGTTGCATGAACAACAATGCCAACTCCAAGGTCTGGTTCCTGGAGTTAACACATTTAGATTTATCTTTCGCGCAGCTCGTGGGCCAGCTGCTGAAGAACCCATATTGCAAGCTTCGAAGTTTCTCCTTGTTACCTGGGGTAAAGGTGAGTGGTTTTTTCAACATGTTCGTCTTGATATTGACACTCATTTTCTTAAGCAGAAAGAAAGCCCCTCCTCACGTGACCTTCATCTTCTCAAGGAGTATCAAGATGCGATTCTCAGCAATTTGGAGGCCAACTACAGCAGCCGGATCCAGAGACTGCGCATTCGCGGGGAATGGGCTTCCAAACTGTTGGAGGACAGATGGTTGAGGGTGAAGTACCGGAATGCTCTATTTCAGAAGAGCCCCGTTCTTGCACAAAGCGCTCCAGTCACACCATCAACTGCCAAGCTGTTCATGTGCGGCCACACTGCCTCGGGCAAGACCACCATCTCCACCAATCTGGTCCGCCCCTATGCAGCCCTCTGGCAGTGTGTGAAACCGCCATGTCAGGATCATGCATCAACGGTGGGAATTGAGAGGAGGACTCTCAGATTGGGAGAGGGGAAGAAACTCCTGATTTACGATCTGGGAGGCCAGGAGGTCTACCACGCTTTTCATCACTATTTCCTCAGGGGCAGCGACAAAGATCTCTTCATGGTGGTGTGCAAGGTTGGAGGTCCTGGAGGTGAGATGAAAGCTGAGCTCCAATACTGGCTTCGCTTCATAGCGGCCCACCAAACTGCAACACCAGCTAGGAAACCCACCATTTTCTTAGTACTCAACATCTTTGTTCGTGATTACCGTCTTTTCGAAGAAGCTCAAACAGCTGCGACGTCACTGTTCCTCGAGTATAAGGACAGGCTAGACTTTGTTCAGGGCCAACGTGATCATCACTATTTCGAGGTGAATGGGTTGAATGCTCGTCAGGTACAGAAGGAACTGAAGCCCAAGCTGGCAATAGCAGTGGGCGAAATGATCAATGAAGTTCCTGTGATTCCCTGGACTTGTGATGAGGTTATCAGAAGGCGGGCTTCATCCACACCATGGTATCATATCCACACACGGGCACAAACAATTGTCCAGCAGAGGGTGGTCGACCTACATGAGATGTCCAAGGCTTGGTTCCAGGGGGAGAACGAAGTTCAGGCATTTGCTGCACAATACACATTCATCTGCCTACATGACATGGGAGAAGCTGTCTACTTTGGGGCAGATGACACATATCAAAACACGGATCCAAACGACAAGGAAGCTGCATTGATTGTCAACAATGCAGTTCTAGACATGCCATGGTTTCTCCACACTGTGTTAGGAATTTTCATTCCTAAGCAAGACAGAAACGATACGATGAAGTGGGGGGAACCCAAGTGGTCTGCTGCGAAAGCAGTACAAGAGCTCAAAACACTTGGGGAGACTGCAGAGGGCAACATCTATTTCCTGCTCAAGCTGCTCTGTGAGATGGGGGTTCTCATTCCTGATGGCATGAGGAGCTGGGACATAAGGTGGTCAGAGCCACGAAATCGGCCAGAACACCTCATTGTGCCTGCATTATTGAGTGATGAGTTCACAGGATGGATTGAAAGCGAGCAAACATATGATTGTTGGGGTCGGAGATTGCAAGCAGACGACACTATGAAGGGCTTCGTTCTTCTCCCATCAGGTAATTATGCTTTGACTTGTTGGATTGGACTAATACTGATTGAAAGCAGGACTATTTGCGGTTATTCAAGCCAAGGTGAAGGAAATGTGTGACAGATGGGGCCATGGAAGTAAGATTGGTGCTGGTTGGGTTTCCTTCCAAGAGGATCTCATTCAAGTTCTGGTGACTATTGGTGGGGATTATAAGCATTGGACAGATCGGCAATGGGTGGATATTATGTTGATGGTGCCCAAGGAGGAAAAGAGGGGACTCAAAGGGGAGCAGTTCATGAAGGAGATACGAGATTGTGTAATAAAGGAAACTAATAGGGCCTGTCCTTTCATCAAGCTTGAAGAACATGTTTTGAATCCAGGGAAGGTAAGACAGTTTGGAAAAGCATCAGGACAACAGGGGTCATGCAGCAAGAGCTCTCGGGCACTGCAAGAAGTTAAAAAGATGGTAGCTAGGGAGGGGTTTGATTATCATTTTACTTGGGATTTTGGTGACTCCACTAGTGCCATGGAACTCTTGATGCAAAGTGAAGTCAACGAGATTATTCAGCGATGTAAGGGTGTTATTGAAGAGGTTGTCACAGAATACAACCAGCACATAGTGCCAGTGTATCAAAACCAGCAGCAACAGCTTGTGCAGGTCGAGATCCCAAAGTTTGAAAGTGAAGACATGAACAAGCTTGCCAACTTTTGCTATCAATTACACAAGCATCAAGAGAAATCTATGCAGGGGATTCATTTATATATGGAGGACTTTAAGGTCTCCATAACAGATATCAAAGAATCTTTACAGAAGCTGCAAAAGGGCCTGAAGGACACAGAAAACGCATTGATCAAGAGCTGCTCATCACTGTTGGAATCCATTAAGCTGGAGTGACCGAAACTCCCACACCTTACAATGGAGTCAAATCTGGTGCTAAAATATTCACCACTGATTGGGAAACAGGCAAATATTAGCTACTTATGTGAGCATACAAGCGGCTGTCACCCAGTTGATTTGAAGAAGTACCCAGGAGTACCAATCACTATCCCAAATCAATGGTTCAAAAAGTATAGCAACGTCTTTGTCCCAGGCATCACAATATGTTTCACCCTTGCAAAGCTCAGTAAAGTGGCATTGCCTGTGGGAGGGGAGCTGGTCGGCACCTTGATTGAGCTTGGTGCAAATGGCTTGAAGGCTACAATCGACTCCTGCTTTGAAGGCGATCTCAATAACAAGTTGCAACCTGCATCAGAAGATGACATTGTGGAGTTGTTTGAGTATGTGAAAAAGAATTCACCTGAACGATATGGTGAGAACCGAATCTTGATGATGAAGAAATGCTTTGGACTCATCAAAAGTCCAAGTGGCTGGGTTTGTGAAGATCACCATTATTGAAGAAGAAGGGCACAGGCTTTGTAAAACTACTAAAATGAAGAAGCCGTGAAGTGAAGGAATTTTTATTGAAAGAAAAAAAACAAAACAAAGCAGCGTAATGTTTTTGCTGAAATGCCTGGGTTATCCACTTAATATATTGTATGTCGAAAGCTCATCTGCTGTCCAGGGAAGTTAGAGATCAAACCTCAAGACCTCTCTCCACACCATCGGACACTCCAAAGTTTCCACAAAGCAACGGTGCAACGAGTCCTGCGATTCAGCTGTTCCTCAGTTACTCAGTGCAGGCATGAGGGTAGATGTAAATAAAAAATTCTCATTGAAAATTCTAGACTAGCGAGCAAACTTTCTCAATGAGCTGCTGCTTGGCCATTCTAGTCTTCCCAGAGAGGGCGCCAGCCTCCTGGCCTGTGCTCGAGGATCGGACGAGGACCCTTTTGCGTGAGAGATGCGACGGAGCTCCTCTTTGTCCAGAGGGGTGATCCAGGCCGGGAACATGTTCGTGTTTCCTCGGGTCGTCCACCTTCAGCTCAACGTTGGGAAGGAGGAAGCTGTGGGGATCGCCGCGTTTAACAGCCAGAACCTGGGGACTTCTCAGGTTGCGAAGTGCTGCCAGGCCGGACGTGAGCAACGACATGATTGCCAAGGCGTTCCAGTTCTCGGAACCCGAGCTTGTGAGCGAGCTCAGGAGACTCATCAAGAAGACTCGAAGGAACTTTCCTTCTCAGGAGTGATATTAGATATGGACTGTTGCAGCATTGTCTGAAAAAAAAAACATTCACAAACAGAAGTACCTGTGTTAAAACGCTCTCACCTAAGCAGCGAATCTGAGATATAACAATCGGTGACCTCGAATGCACGTTAATAGCTTAGATATAGAAGCGACTTTTCACTTCTTTCTCGTCCTGGACGAAGACCACTGAAAATGATCGCACCTCGCTTCAGGATTGGAAGCTGGGCCCTGCTGGAAACAATTATGAATAAATTATGAAGAATCTTTCAAGGAAGATCACCTTTGCTCGAGCACAGACGTAGAAACCACGGCCAAGATTGGGACCAGCCTTCTTAACTGTTCTCACGACACAAGGCCCACCGTGTCCCTTGCACAATGGAAGATTTCGCGACATCAAGAAGCTTTGCTGAGAGCCTTCCGTCGGTGTTTCATCTGACATATCCATCACACTGGCACTCTCCCCGCAAGCTGCAACCTCTGAGCAGTTGTTATTGTCGCATTATTCAGGTGATTGCTGGATTTCATCCGTAAGGCTGGAGCTCTGCCCATGCACTGCGACCTCTGTGCAGCTCATTTTGTCAGAAGAATCATGCCTTTGATAGCAAAACCCTGTCAATCTGCTTTGTGACAGCCTCTGTAATTTCCTGCAGCCCGTTTCCTGTGTAAAAGCGGGCTTGGAAACATTTCGGCTTGTATCAGGCTCGGCTTTGGCACTAGTCAAGAGACCCGTAAAACCTTCCTCGGCAGCCACAGGCAAGGCTACATTGTTGCCACACTCCACCTTTCAAAACGTAGCCACACCTGACCAGCAATGCGCTTTAATCAAATGCCAAGGAGGAAGAAATGTTCTAAATCGCAAAGTCCCTACCTTGCAAAACAATACCAAAATCTTTAACACCGAGTGAGACCAGCAAGTGTATGCCTCTGCTCTGAACAACATATTTATAACCACATATACTTTGGCCGGACAAAAACCGTGAAAAGTTACCTTTCAGGATGAAACACGCGAAACGCGTCTGAAAACGCACCACCAGCAATGATCTAAACCATTGACGGCTCCCGTTAAAATGAACATATTAAAAACTACTAGGGCGGCTTGAATCAGTGAGTGACTTACGGATTGGTATCAAATTTTGGGCCAGGGTCACATGAATCAATAGGATATGGACAAATGTTCAAGTGCCCCACGATAATAATCCTCCTGCCTCGTTTTAAAATGCTTTCCAGCCTACACTGCAAAGGAAGAAAAAGTTTCACAACAAACAGCAACGCATCTGTCAATACCTGTAACACTTTGTAAAACTCCAGCTTAAAGTCCTGCCGTTCAGTGTCTCCATTAGGACCATAGATATTGAAGAGTACTAGGTAGAAAGAATCCATCAACAAACAGAAAAGAACAACCAGTGCAAATGAAAGCGAGGAAGCTCCATACCAAACGTCCCCTCAAATTTCTTTGATCTCGGTTGCCCTTTGCTCCTCGAGAATCACCAGGAGCTTGGATTTGAGCAGCACGATTGCTTTTATTTTGTTTTGGGAGTTGGCTTCTTTCCTCTAGAAACACGAAGAAACTTTTAGAGAGCACTGTGCGGATACTTCGTTTCATGTACCTGAGCAGCGAAGAGCAATCCCGGTTGGAATGTGCGTGACACGAACAGCAGACTCGACCTTGTTTACGTTCTGCCCGCCTTTGCCTCCAGATCTACACGTTGTAATCTCAAGGTCGCCATCGGGTTACTCCACTTCGATCTCGCTCTCTTCCAGCAGAGGCATCACTTCCACCCCTGCAAAGCTCGTCTGTGAAGAGAAATAAACGTTGAGACAAGAGTTTCGATGAAACTAACGTTTGCTTCACCTGTCGTAGACCTTTGGAGTTGAAAGGCACGCACAGTACCAGCCTGTGCGTCAATCTCGAGTGTGGCCGATTTGATCCCAGCTTCCTCACCAGGAGAACTCTCCACCACAGTCGACTTAAAGCCCGACCTGGATCGCTGGTACATCCTTAGAAGCATCTCAGCCCAATCCTGTGCTGGAATGTATGTAAAACAATCTCAAAGCTTCTAAAAGGATATCAGCACACGATGTTACCTGCGCATCGGTTCCACCAGCGCCTGCGGTAATAGTTATCCGAGCTCCTTCTTTGTCATAAGTTCCAGAAAAGAGCTTGATCAGTCGTTGTGCAGATACTTGACACATTGAAAGAGCCATTGCTTTGTAAGGCATGAGACCACCACTTCCTTGACATCCCCGATCGATGGATGGTGAAACGAGAGAAGAACGTTGATTTCCCGTAGAGAAGTCATGGGGAATCCTTCTCTCTCGTGGTCCATCTTCACTCTCTTGAGCGCCACAATCTCTCCACTCTTCTTGTCCCGAGCACGATAGACGACTCCATAAGTCCCTTCGTCGATCTTGTTAAGCCTCTCAAACTCGTCCACACTTCGGCAGCCTCGCAGCATATCAATACTACGTAAGTGTGGGGGCGGCGATCGATCGTCCTAGTCCGAGTCCGACCCCGAGCGCTCGTCTGGAGCACTACCATCGTCGTCGCTAAGTTCCACAAGCTCTTTCTTGTTAAGTTCCTGCTCGTACCGCTGCTCCTCATCTCGGCTCCCGGAATTGTCTTGTCACCACCACCGCTGGAAAGCACATCGGTGTCAATCGGCTGTGTTTCATCTTCTCCACCAGCAGCCATCTCGGAGAAGCTAGACAAGGGCGGCGCCGCATCAGATTTCCTGCCGTCGTCAAGGTCCCAAACAATGGGAGAGTACTTCCCCATCGTCGCCCTCTACGTCTCTGGAATCCGTAGCAATGTAGGCCCTGAGTCCATTAGCTCGATCGGGCGGGAGCACGAGAGCTAGCGCATTTGGAGCTTACCGGCGAGCACTCACGAGCCCTAAACCACAGAGAAGTAAAATATTTACCCTTCGTTGGTCTAATCATTATTGCATTTTATGTTTCTCGATTCTTTATGAAAGGAGGAAAGAAAGTCGACGACGAGGATTTGAAGGTACTTAAAACGTTTTCTTCCATAAAAAAAAGCCCTTTAATGGATATGTAAAGAATTCCAGAAAGATCTTTTCGTTTCTTAGTAGTACCACACTCGATGATTTCATGTCAAACGAATATACTCGCTTTTCTTTGCTTCTTTGTTTTGCGTATCCCCGTTCTTCGTCGCGGATGTTCTAAACCAAAGATAAAAGTAAGAAAACCACGAGAGAATCAAGTCAATAACATTGACGTGTTCTCTTCCAAGAAATGTACCTCCCAAGTCGCTCCCATGAAAGCCAGTCCCCTGTACCGCAAAAAAAACTCTAAACAAATCCCTCCACCAAAAAGCTGTCTAGCCTGCTGTGGATGAGCTCGAAACCATCCAAACAAAGCGACCGCGCCTGAATTCGGTGCCGCTGCTCGTTTTCGCGCACGGCGCTGGGGCTCCATCCTCATCCGACTGCATGATCAGGTTTGTCTCTCCGGATCTTGCTTTAATCCTCTTTTCTTTTCTTTTTTTCTTTCTTCTGGCAAGATGGAAGAACCTGTTGGCAACGGCGACCAACGCCGTGGATGTGATATCCCTGTGGGTCTTCTTTCTTATTCTTTTTCTCCTTTCTTGGAAGATCTTGTTAGTTTTCTAGTTAAATGACATACTCTGTTTCCCCTAAATCATTTTCTCCATGTAAATATATAGGAGGCGCATTTTTTCGGACTAAAATCCATTCAAGATCGAGAATTTGAGAGCATGTAAGTAAATCGTCGTCATTGTAAAATTCTAGACTCGGAGACGCTCCGAGTGAGAGAATGAGCTGCTACTTGGCATTCTTCTCTTCGCAAGCCACCTGGCCTGTGCTCAAGCATCGGACGACATACGAAACTTGTACAGCTTGTCTAACGCATGTGTTTTGCTAATTGCTTACAAAAACAATCACCTTTACAAAGCAAAAGCAAAAGAAAGAGAAATAGATTTGGCATGATTGATGCCACTTTGTACGACATGCACCGTAGGGTAGAGTTGGCATCTGATTTCATGTTTAAAGCCAAGCAGCATGCCAAGCCACTGACTCATCTTTGCTAGCCAGTTCCAAGTTGTCATTTGGATGTTGGTATTCCATTGGAAGTTATGGGGGAGCCAAAGCAGGCCCGGATAGATGATTACGAGGATTTGAGAAGCATTTTCTCTGAGATGTGGAGACATGGGGTGTCGAGTGTGAGGGAGCTCAAGGAACGGAGATACGGAGCAGCAAAATTCAATTCAAATGACTTCGAAGGCTTGCGCGAGCTGCTACAGCACTCTGGAGCACCTATTCCTGTGCAGAGAGGGCTACCACAAAGTGGGGGGGTTTCTTGAAGCAGCTGTGTCCAAGCTAAGCAGCCTTGGCATTATTCTAGACAAAGTTGGCGAGGGATTCGCAGCTTGGGTGATGCTATTGCTGCTGCCAAGCACAAGGGGATGCCAATCAAGCTCAAGAAGCTTCTTCTACATTCCTGTGACGTAGATTTAGATGCTTTAGCGGGATCAACACTTCCCAAGTATTTAGAACGTCTGGAGCTTTTAAATTGCGATTGTTCGCCCCACCTGGAGAAGCTGCTGCAAGATCCAGCCTGCAAGATCTGGGAGATCTCCCTGGATCAGAATAAATACTTGACGCCCGCCCTCTTCCAGGATGGAACAAGTCTACGGCAGCTTACGCTGCTCGACATCCCAAATGATCAGGCGCTACTCAGCCAAATCTGCCGATCAATAGAAGGCCTTAGAATTAAGGAATTGCGCACCCTTGCGGAGATCTCCCTGCTGGAAGATTGCATTAACAACAATGCCAACTCCAAGCTCTGGTTCCTGGAGTTACAACATGTACATTTATCTTTCGCGCAGGTCGTGGGCCAGGTGCTGAAGAGCCCATATTGCAAGCTTGAAAGTTTCTCCTTGATATATGGGAAGGTGAGTGGTTTTTCAACATTGATATTGACACTGATTTTCTCAAGCAGAATCCTCGTAAGTAAGGACTATCAAGATGCGATTCTCAGCAATTTGGAGGCCAAGCCAACTACAGCAGCCGGATCCAGAGACTGCGCATTAGCGGGGAATGGGATTCCAAACTGTTGGAGGACAGATGGTTGAGGGTGAAGTACCGCAATGCTCTATTTCAGAAGAGCCCCGTTCTTGCACAAAGTGCTCCAGTCACACCATCAACTGCCAAGCTGTTCATGTGCGGCCACACTGCCTCGGGCAAGACCACCATCTCCACCAATCTGGTCCGCCCCTATGCAGCCCTCTGGCAGTGTGTGAAGCCGCCATGGCAGGATCATGCATCAACGGTGGGAATTGAGAGGAGGACTCTCAGATTTGGAGAGGGGAAGAAACTCCTTATTTACGATCTGGGAGGCCAGGAGGTCTACCACGCTTTTCATCACTATTTCCTCAGGGGCAGCGGCAAAAATCTCTTCATGGTGGTGTGCAAGGTTGGAGGTCCTGGAGGTGACTCGGAAACAGAGCTCCAATACTGGCTTCGCTTCATAGCGGCCCACCAAACTGCAACACCAGCTAGGAAACCCACCATTTTCTTAGTACCCAACATCTTTGTTCGTGATGACCTGGTAAAAGCTCGAGCAGCTGCGACGTCACTGGTACTCAAGTACAAGGACAGGCTAGACTTTGTTCAGGGCCAACGTGGTGATCACTATTTCGAGGTGAATGGGTTGAATGCTCGTCAGGTACAGAAGGAACTGAAGCCCAAGATGGCGATAGCAGTGGGCGAAATGATAAGTGAAGGTCCTGTGATTCCCTGGACTTGTGATGAGGTTATCAGAGGGCGGGCTTCATCCACACCATGGTATCATATCCACACGCGGGCACAAACAATTGTCCAGCAGAGGGTGGTCGACCTACATGAGATGTCCAAGGCTTGGTTCCAGGGGGACAAAGAAGTTCAGGCATTTGCTGCACAATACACATTCATCTGCCTACATGACATGGGAGAAGCTGTCTACTTTGGGGCAGATGACACATATCAAAACACGGATCCAAACGACAAGGAAGCTGCATTGATTGTCAACAATGCAGTTCTAGACATGCCATGGTTTCTCCACACTGTGTTAGGAATTTTCATTCCTAAGCAAGACAGAAACGATACGATGAAGTGGGGGGAACCCAAGTGGTCTGCTGCGAAAGCAGTACAAGAGCTCAAAACACTTGGAGAGACTGCAGAGGGCAACATCTATTTCCTGCTCAAGCTGCTCTGTGAGATGGGGGTTCTCATTCCTGATGGCATGAGGAGCTGGGACATAAGGTGGTCAGAGCCACGAAATCGGCCAGAACACCTCATTGTGCCTGCATTATTGTGTGATGAGTTCACTAGATGGATTGAAAGCGAGCAAACATATGATTGTTGGGGTCTGAGATTGCAAGCAGACGACAATATGAAGGGCTTCGTTCTTCTCCCATCAGGTAATTATACCCTTGACTGCTGGGATTGAGATTAAGCATTGATGCCTGTGTGTTTGTTGGTTGAAAGCAGGAGTTTTTGCAGTTATTCAAGCCAATGTGAAGGAGATGTGTAACAGATGGGGCCATGGAAGTAAGATTGGTGCTGGTTGGGTTTCCTTCCAAGAGGGTGTCATTCAAGTTCTGGTGACTATTGGTGGGGATTATAAGCATTGGACAGATCGGCAATGGGTGGATATTATGTTGATGGTGCCCAAGGAGGAAAAGAAGGGACTCAAAGGGGAGCAGTTCATGAAGGAGATACGGGGTTGTGTATTCAAGGAAACTAACAGGGCCTGTCCTTTCATTAAACTTGAAGACCATGTTCTGAATCCAGTGAAGGTAAGACAAATGGAAAAGCATCAGGCTCTGACGCCCGCGGG